GAAAGCTGCTTGCCTCAGGAGCAATTTTACTAGCCACATTTATTTAGCCTGAAATTTCAGGCTGTTGGGAACATGCTGGCTGGAGTGTCACAGCACCTGGACTAGAGCCTGGCGCCAAAAGAGAAGATACTAACTCCTTGGAAATAAAGACCACCCTTGGCCTCTCCCTGCACAGTAAGGGAGGTCAGCGGTTATGGGGCTCCTTTCTGCAGGACGGGGTACTACAGTCAGTATTACACAGGGTTGCGTTTGCAAAAGGGCCTCATGCTGGCACTTCGATTATTGCATGAAATGTTTCTTCAATTAATTACATGCATAGAGAAAAGATTTTAGATGCTCCTAGCAATTTCATTAGACGGCTGCACCAATGAGAGGTTGTTCTGTAGGACTTAGTATGATTGATTGTAGGTGGAGAAATAGAAGCTGTTTTAAAAACCTGGCTTAACTGTTCTTTTGCCTAGACTTCACATCGTTTACAAGAACACAAGATTGTAAACTAGCTCATTCTAAAACCTGAAAAGACATCTAAAACAGATTTTTGAGATCTACAACACTCCTCTAATAGATTGGGTGGGATTTTCAAAAGCACCCAGCATGCGTCTGAAACTCCAGCTGAAGTCTGTGTTACAATGCCTGAGAGGGGACTTCAGCCAGTGCTGAGAGTTTCTGATGACCCCACCCAAACAGCAGCAGCATCACTGAAATGCTAAATGACAATGAAGGGTTCAGTCAACAAGTTCTATGACAACTTCTACAACTACATTTTTCCTTCAGAACAAGTCTATATTTCAATACGTAGGATGGAAGAGCAAACCACTGCCTACTCCACACAGACTGCCCTCTGCATGCATAGAGGGCGGGTAGGGATCACCTTTGCATCCACAGTACTGTCCTTCCCTGAATATCCTCGCTGTTTTCCACAGGTTGCATCTCTATACACATGGATGGGAAGGTTTGACTGCAACATGTTATCCATTCTGCAAATCCCACAGGGGATTAATTCCATAGGCAATATTACTTTTGCCTACATGGCTGGGTCGGAATCACTACAACTGAGCTAGAACATTAATCAATATCCTGAAATCTGGATTTCCTCACACTTATCATCTGTCCAGAGGACTCTCAGGCTCTGCTTCACTACCTCACTGAACAACCCAGGAATCCATTTCTCTTTCTACTGCCCTCACTTTTTTTCCTCCCAAACCAGATGAGCGATATGGCTCATTTCAGGGAGACATCTATGCAAAACAAACTCAAAGATATTAAATTCAAGTCCTAGTTTGACCGTTTACATCAGAAATTTGTTCCTAATTGTAAGTAACAGATTACAAAGCTCAACCGAATAACCTGGTATCTCCCTTAAACAGGAGAAATAGGAAGATCCTGGAAAAAGAAATGCCTCTGAAGAAGACTACAGGAGCTCTGACTAAGCAGAATTCAGTTCTCACCAGTAGCTGGTGATGAATGTCAACGATTTTCAAAGACATTAGAAGGATTTCCACAAATAAAAAGCATACAAGTATAAAACTTGTAAAAAGTACTGGAGCTGGACAATTTATCTTAATATAGAACCCAATGTGGTAATAAAAATACCGTATATGTAGCCAATAAACAGTTTTATATTATCACAAGGACAGAAAACAACAGTGTTGAACCAGAAGTATCAGTTTGGACTCTTATCTATTTGGTAATTGGTAATTCTGTTTAAATAAGGCACAAATATTAGCCTTTTTAAAAGATCGCTGATAGTAAATGGAAAAGATTCTGTAATATTACAGACTTAAAAACGTACCTACAGTTAAATTCCACATAGATATAAGACCGAGTTATTGTTGAACACATACAAGGTTCAAAACAAAAAGCGACACACTATTTAATGACTGTAAACACCCTATAGGCTTTATAAATAGTAAGGAAAGAATGCAGCATAAGCACAGTAACTAGCATTGTGATGGCAACTGAAATAAAAATAATTCTAAGTTGAATTTTACCTTCCATCTTGTAGCTTAGCTTACTTCTTTTCAGCCTGCATTTTCACTCAATGAAACAGTGAATTACTACCACAATGCATTGATTTTGAAAGATTCCACTATCAAACTTTCAATTTTATGATCTCTATAATAACTATAAGAATATTAGCAGCCTCACACGGCTTCTGTATTTTCCCACAAAGGTGAGAATGGGACAATCTATGTGATAATAGGAGTTCAGTACCTAACTCACGTAAAGCCAGTACGATTTATTCCATCAGAGAGGCATTTCTGAAAACCATTTTCTGGCAGCATTCCTGGACTTGTATGTTGGATGGTTTTGAAAGTAATGATACCCATATAATTTCCAAATTTTTTCAATTTTTCCCCTTAAGACATGAATACTGTTTACTATCTTTAACACATGTAGAAAATAAAACATTATTTTAGATGGAACCATGGGCAGAAACACTATGGTGGATGCAGAGGAAAAGGAAAGGTGAATCTTGAAATTCTCGTCAACAAAATGCAAGGACGTAAATGAGAACGAGTGAGAAGCGCTACAGGAACACACAGACCCTTGTGTTGCCTGTCTTCTCTCAGACACACTTAGTAGCACTACATCTGGGTAATGTTTAGTACCAGCAAAGGAGAAGAATGACCTCTACTGAGTCATTAATACCACCTCTAAACAAGTATGCATGAGATTGCCCTGCAGCTTTCTCATCCGAACAGCAGCTGAGCCACCTGGTCTGAGCCACTTGGAAAGGTTACAGATAAGATTTTAAATAGTTTTTATTATACTTTTGATTTTAATAGCGCAAAATATTTTGCCAAATAACATTTTTATGTTATAAGAAAATCTACTTCCAGCTTACACACCATGTTGATACACAAGAGGAAACCAACGGATAGATAAATACTTTGGGGTACAGACCTCTGGATGCACCACCTATAACTCTGAAATACTGAGATTCTGCAGCAATGCAGATTGCAGATGCCCTCAGGAATGTTCATGCTCTAATCATACACTGATATTTCTGTATGATTTGCACTTTTAGAACATTGTACCTTCATTGTACTGATTAAAAAAAATAATTTTGGAAGCTCATCCTCAATAACAAGTACTGGCCCTGCCCTTCTTATTCTGGAACAAGCTGAAACTTTTGCATGAACAAAACCAAGGTCTCACTCTACTGCATCTCCTTGGTAAAGCATCAAACATTGCCTCTGTAATGATACAGATCCCTTCCCTTAGGTCAGCTGCCTTGTAATACAGCAGCCAGAAAAACCCTTTTCCATTTGTGTTAGCTACAAGGAAAATTCATTCATGAATGTCAATGTGGCAACTGATATTAAACTTTGCTACAAACTACTAAGATATTAAAGTACAATCTGATCCAAATACTGACCTCATGAACCTGCCCACTCAGGCCTATACTGAGACTAAGACTAACCAAAGAAAGAAAGAAAGAAAGAAAGAAAGAAAGAAAGAAAGGGAAAAAAGGTTTCTGACATGAGTTTAGACGAGCAGGAGAGCATTCTTCTCAGGCACAGTTCATTTTATACCCATGTGTTACTTCTGCCAACTGCATCAGAAATACTCTTCAAAGTTGACAATTCCAATCTGCTGAAACTTAATTCACACCTTTCGTATCCTGAGCTATTGTGGTGGACAATGTATGTATTGTAAGGTGTGGTAAGGTGGAGAGGTGGAAAATGAAAAGAGGAGGAAAATAAAATTAAAAAAAAAAAAAAAAAAGGAAAGAGCTGCTCCATATAGCAGCAAGAATTTTCAGACTTTAAATGTTCAAATATTCTTCAGGAACAGTGCCAGAAGAAGGAGAAATGCTTGTTCTAAATACGATATACATCAAATCCACTTCACTGAATTTGCAGAGATATTTTTGGTTGGCTAAAATGAGAGTTTGATATATGTATTCTGAAGGTGAATCTGTAATTTTAGTCTTCTAGTGTTCCAAGTAATTTTCAGTCATGATTCTTTAATAATTGAATTACTGTTAATTAGAAATCATATTTAGTTAAATCTACCTTTCAATCTACCTTCAAAAAGGTAGCTACTAAAAATGGAAAGAAAATAATTCAGAAGAGGCACAAATTAGTTTTCAAACACTATTAAAACTGTAGAAAATAAAAAATAATAGAAATCTATCAATTCCACTTACACTTTCCTTTCTGAAAAATTTTAGGTGAAATAGTCTACCTAGGGAAACCGGATAATATGTCTTTAAAGTGTCTTAGTTGTAAACAGAAGTCAATAAATGTCACATTATAATTCAGCACTTCATGTACTTTACAGAAGAGAGAAAAGCATGCGAGCTACCTTTTCGAAGTCTGGAAGACAGGGCCACAGTTTCAGTTTGCAGTAAGTTCCAAGTTATATTCACAAGAAATTCCTTAATCTAAAAAAAGTTTCCTTCCCCCCTCCCCCCCCCCCCCCC